GAGAAGATTCCCTTTCAGCCGAGTTGTAACCACTCATTAGAAAACATGAGCCGGTACTTTCCTTCTACAAGAAAAATTCCTCTGCATTTCACAGTCATCTATAAGTTCCTGAGATGGGGGCAAGCAGGGAGTCCCTGGTAACGCAAAGAGGAGGCCAAAGTGATACCTAAACCCTTCTCACTAGGGAGCTCAGTGAAGCTAATGCCAGTTAGAGATCTGGTTCAGACAGTGTCTGCTTCCAAAAATACTCAACAAACTTCCGCTGTGCATGTTAAGGAATGTTAGCACCACTGAGGATAGAAACTAGAAGCTCTCCCTTCTTGCTTATGAAAGGTGGAAATGGTTAAAATCAGTTCCATCACACAACCAGGCGCACGGAGTCTGCAATACTGAGACGGAAAAGCAGCCGAGTGTAAGAAGTCAAGATCCTGCCAATGAGATTATGCTGCGTGGTAGCCACCTTACAAGTGCACTTTCCTGTCATTCTCTCATGTCTCAGACTTCATAGCTTAAATGCCACCCCCGGACGCTGTTCCCGTGAACTACGGACACAGATGATGGGGTAGACAGTCGGATAGAGAGCAAGCAATCATTTAACAGAAATAGCATCGAGATGTCACAGGGAATGTATAGTTCATGAAAATTAACTAAATTGCTAGATTCTAGAAAGGGTAGACTAGCTCCAGCTACCAAATGTTAGTGAAACTCAAAGACAAGTATGCTTTGCTACAATAAAAACATATAAAACTTTTTTCATATTCATGAGCCATCCTCATTTTGAAGATGGGCCTATTTGGATGCAGTAAAGTTGAATTCTGTTTGTCAGGCTGAAATGGCAATACACTAGTAGAGAATGGCGTGTGCCCTTGTAATTGTTATATCAAATTTTGGAGATGAGGTTGCATATACGAGAAAGAAAGCATTCCCTTGTGATATTTATATCATTCCCCATCTACATATTTTGTTATTCATGTCACATCAGAAATCAAATAATCATATTTTATGCATTAATCTACCTAGAAAGAAACAATGCCTGGAAAATATTGCTCTTACTGCTAATGGAGCATGAATATACTTTGATGATATTCTCACTTAGTTATATGCATAGAAAGGATTAAAAAGATTCTGTTTTCTATTCCTTTACAAGATATTCAATTTGCTTAAAATATCAGTAAACACATCCACAAAAGCATCTTACAATGGAATACACACACACACACACACATATATATATTTTTTCCTATGTGTATATGTGAGAGCCAGGTACCCTGCTGATTAAAAGCAATATACAGGAGCACAGAGTAACTGTCTTCTAAGACACTCAGACTTGTTCACGAGGGGAATATAAACTGTTTCATTTAAATTAAAAAATATATTATAGAGAGAAGGAGATGAGCAAGTTTTTCTTGGTGATTTTTTATACTTTCCCAGGAGAGAAAGGTACCCACACTGAGTAACACATGTAACACTTCCATAACCAGAGCATTTTTCCCCAATAAAATATAACTTTGCATCACATGCAGTTTAATAGCATGCTTGATGCAAGTCTAGTTTTGGAGGCATTCTCCGTTTTCACAAAGCTGACTTATGTCACTTTTATATCCCATAGCATTTACAAATGATTTCAAAGGGGGAAAAAATACGCTTTGTGCAACGTGAATAAAACTGATTTCAAAAGAGAGAGAGAGAGACTCTAAAAATAAACTCAGGGCAATTTATGAAACTTGTGTAGAGAAAACGGAGGTAGACCACCACAATATTCGACTTTGGATATGACTGTGTCCTGCCCTGCCTTTTATTGAGAAGGCACCGTCTTCGCTCATTGTTAATGCATCAAATAAATGTTTACTGAGCACTAACTCTGTGCTAAGCCCTCGTCCAACCATCATTCTAACGTCTGCAGTTGTCTTTGGCAGTAAAGGTCAGGAAGGCTAGAAGATTCTAAATAAAACTGTTATTCTTTTACAATGCTTTTCCAAAGAGACACCTGGAAATCACAACTCTGTACTTCTACCTACTAATACAACTTTAAAAAAGACTTATAAAAGCAAGAAGGGGGTGGTGATATTTACATAAGGAATAGCACTTGTAGATAGGAACAGGATACTGTATTGGTCCTGGTGATTTGTCATGAAGTGGCGATGGAGATTCAGTTCATGGTAACGTAGGGGAGACACAGCTACCTTGCATCTCTTGAACTTCTTTTTCTGACCTTTTGAAGTTGCCAGGTTCACCTCGTTTTCTGCTCACGGTTACACCTGAAGCGGATTCCGAGGCAG